GGGACATCTGGAGGATTTACACAGACACCACAGTCTCCAAGTTAAGTCTCAGAGGAGCCCGAGGCCCACGGCCTCTGTTCTTCCTGCTCACAGGGCTATAGGCTCCGACCAGAGTGCTCATGTTGACTCCAAACATAGAAGCACGGCCGATTTTCAGATTACACCACATCAAAGGTTCACAGTGCTCTGGGCCTTGCTGCCCTAAGCCACAGGTATTTCAAAGAAGGTGAATCTAATCCATAACAAGCTACTGCCCAGGCTCTATAAGTAAACTCAGCCTCCACCAAGGTAAGACTGTGGTCACCACAGAGCTCTGATTCCACAACAGCCAGATGGTGGCTCTTCTCGCCCTCAAGAATCAATCGGTGAGATTTCCCTTTCCTGTAGTTCCTTTATGTGGCTATGGAAACAGATCTGGAACAGTTAGGTGCAAAGCTGCCAAGACCCAGGGCATGAAGCAGGATAAGAGCACAACACTCAGCACTCTCCTGTCACCCACTCGCCTCACTGATTCTCCCATACACTGTGGCCTGGGTCCCAATCTTCACAATAAGTCCCCACATTCCCATCACAGTTTGCAAAGCACTTTCCCACCCGTTTTCTTACTTGGCCTCACAATAACCTTGGGAGGCGGGTATCGTCAGCGCTGGTCCCGCGGTGGAGGCCGAGACTGGCGCAGAGAGGCGCTAACACTGCATGGCCAACAGACAATGTGCAGCCCAAGCGCTGATAGAAAACGGCCTTTTCATTACCCTACCCTAAACTGCTGGTGAGGTAAAGCAAAACCAAAACGAAGCACTGTGCATTTCAATTTATATTGCCTTTTTCTTTTTTTGCCATGGAATTTTTACTTGGCAACTGAAGCTTTGAAATAGCTGATTGTAATAGTAAACAACAGATATTTAAAAGTGAGATTTAGTTGGATTTAAGGACACTAAAGTAAAGAGACCAGACAGAACAGAGTCATGAAGAGTGACATGAAAAAATAATAAGAAGTGAAGGTGGGGAATAAAGGAGGTTTGCCCCAAATGTTTACCTACCACTCACCTTTATCCTGAAACATCCCACACCTCCACACCCGGCTCCTGGTTAATGAACATAATTTGGTTGATGCCCCTTGAACTGTATAATCTGTTCCACAAAAAACAAACCCCCGGTTTGTCTCCAAGCCACGTTTAAGTCCCTAACTCCCTGGTTACATTCAGTCTATGGAAAACATCTGTGGCAAAGTAAATCATCCTACTCTGAGAAAGACCAGAGTGTATTTTTTTTTTTTTTCCTCTAAGTGTGTTTTGAAGTCCTGGTTGGAAAATTAGTGAAAATTGTAAATCTGTTTGCAAATCTGGTCATGTCTAACTCTGAGATTAGGGCAAAGATTCCAATTTAAAAGTAAAACCGTGACAACCCCAGTTAAGCGTGTCCTCAGGCGCTGCCAGCAGGGCCTTCACTTACCTCCAAGGCAGCGGATTTATTGCGGGCACCCGACACGTTCCCCGTCAGACACCCCTGGAGTATTTCCTTGAGACAGCAGGGTTCAGCCTGCACTTCCTCTGCAGACCAATATATTGTTATAAATTGAGCTAAACTGTTTCCTTCTCCTAAGTGCTGTGAGGTTCAGATTTCAGATATCAGCACACCCTCCTCACGGCTCCTTATGGTATTTGGGTTTTAGAAAGTAAAGAAAAAGGGTAGCATTAGACCATGGATGCTTTTATTTTTGTTTGGTTTTAAGAGGAGATGGAAGAAAATTCATTTTAGAAATTGAATATGACATCTTAACCAGGAAAATATACTCTAAATGCAAACTGCGGGTACCATGCGCTGTGTCTGAGCCAGTTCAGTAGGGTGGCAACTATCTCACCTTCATCTGAAGACAGGAGTGGGGAAATCAGAAATAGATATTATGTCTTGGATATTAGCTCCTATAAAATAATAACACTTCTGTTTATCACCTACAATAGCTGAAGGGACCCAACGTATATTTAAAAATGTATATTCATTATAACACATAAGTCAAAAGGACAATGAAATTTTTTAATATTTTCATTATTAATCTCTTTCTGAGGGAAGAAAAACATAACTTTAATAAGGCATGGAAAAGAAAGAAGCAAACAGAACATCATCATCGTCTTCTTTTCTTCCCTACCTGAACCACTTAGTCCTAAAGCCATCAGGTGAGGCAGAGGCATGCCAGCGAGGGAGGGGGAGGAGGGCACAGAAGCCCAGAGCAGGGTCAGTGCCCCAGCGGGGGGAGGAGGGCATCCACGTGGGGAGGAGGATGGCCTGACATGGGTGCCAGAGCCCAAGTGGCATAAAATCACAACTTCCAATCCAGGCTTCTTATCAGCTGTGCAACCGTGGCTAACTAACTACATCAATCTAACCTTCAGTTTTTTCTTTTGCAATATAGTTACTATCTACTTCTTAGCGTTATTGAGAAGATTAAAAGAATGCTTGGCTTTGTTGTTAGTACCCCAAAAACGTCACTGTTATTCATATACTACTATTACTCCAGACATATATATGTATAGAAAAAAGACTGAGGGCTGGTCCCGTGGCTTAGCGGTTAAGTGCGCGTGCTCCGCTACTGGCGGCCCGGGTTCGGATCCCGGGCACGCACCGACGCACCGCTTGTCCAGCCATGCTGAGGCCGCGTCCCACATACCGCAACTAGAAGGATATGCAACTATGACATACAACTATCTACTGGGGCTTTGAGGGGGGGGTGGGAAAGGAGGAGTATTGGCATGGATGTTAGCTCAGAGCCGGTCTTCCTCAGCAAAAAGAGGAGGATTAGCATGGATGTTAGCTCAGGGCTGATCTTCCTCACAAAAAAAAAAAAGAGAAAAAAAGACTGAAAAGGGACATACTAATCCGGGCATGAATCTGATTTTTACCTTCTTCTTTCGTTTTCTGCTTTTCAGAGTTTCTTTTCTCTACAACGAGCATGTATTACTCTTTCAATCAGAAAAGAAAACATAAGATGTTATTAAATAAATGGAGACCAGCTGAACTTTTACAATGTGTATTTACTACTTTTATATACAAAAAATTAATAAAGCTATTAAAAATGAGAGAGCACCATTCTCTCATTTCTTTAAAGATGCAAACTGGTAAAAGAAACTCCTGAACAAAGTATCCAAAGAAATGTGGCTTATTGGCTGACATTAACACCTATTTATACTCAAGGTGAATATCCATATCTGGGGGGTACATTACAAAAATGAAATAATAATCTGTTTTACTTACAGATGACGCTCAACGATGGGGCAAAGATTTCAGAATAGAAACTCAGTTCCCGAGGCAATCCGGGGAGGGGCAGGGGGAGAGATGATCTTAACCCTAAAAACATTCCCATGTAGAGATTTCAGTGTATTGGGATCCAGTCTCAATGGTCCCTCTTAGAGTGGTAAAAGCGCTGTATATGAAACCTGCAATCCCTTCTGGTCCTTGTTCTGCCTCATACTAAGTGACCTTAGGCAATTTACTTAAGGAAAGAACAATCTCTGCACCATCTCCTCACAAGGTTGTTTGGAGACTGAATGAGATTGCTTAAGTGAAACTGATTTGTAAACTGTAAAGCAACATGCAGATGGAAGGCAAGAGATTTAGGGTTTACTTAGATTAGTGTTCAACAAATGCAGGAATCATCCCATGAGAAGAATTTAAGAGGTAAAGGGACACAATATTAAGTATCATTGAACCACATGTGAGAAAATAATTCCCTACATAATGATCTTCCAAACTTTCTGCTGACATCCAGGAGAAAGTCTCAGATTGGTACCACTATATAGTTAGCACCTCTCTAACAGTTAATCTCTCTAATCTCCCTTTTTAACAGACACGATAGGACTCAGACTCAGGATCTTCAGCAAACAAAAGTAGCAGGCACTTAATACTGTTTTACTTTATATATTTATAAAACTCTTCCAATTATGCCAAGTGATACTAGTTTTCCAATTAAGATAGTGATATAAAATCTCCTAAATTCATTTCAGTGAAAGAAACAAAGTGAGTTTCTTTAGAGAGAAATATTACCTAAGTAATAGTACAGTAGCACATGCATATGACAAGAACCTTGAAGTTGATGTGCAAATGACTGAAATTTGGAAAACACTTAATGAGATAATGGCCTAAAGAGCTATTCCAAACTCTGAATTCCTAGAAGTCAAGAACCAAGTTTTATCCATCTTCGATGTCCTCCAGAACCTCACGCAGCACACAGAACACAGTGGGCTCTCTACAAATACTCATTTAATTGGGAAATCATTCTTGTCATAAATGCTGGGTTTAAGCCTTGGTGCTCCCTGCCTCTAAAACCAACACATGAGTAGATTCCCCTAGGCAGGTAAGAGTGAGATAAAACTAAAACTAAATAACCCTGAATAATCAAGAGCTCAAGCCAAGGAGAGACCGAACCCTAAGGAGCTTTGTGAGTAAAAAACGATACTGTTTGCACACTGTGCATTGGAAAACAAGTAGAAAGTCCAAAAACAAAACAAAAAACTTAGAGCAAAGAAGCAAAACACAAACTCCACAAACCCCACAGCTTCAGTTAGCCCAACCACAGCTGAATTACTGCTTCCCAAAGAACTAAATGACAAGTGGAGAGAAAGCCCTGGTGTCAGGCCAGCTGCTCTTGAGAAGAAATTAAATCCAAAACTAGAAAAAACTTTCTCACTAAGAACTTAAATAGATAGAGAAATATTTTAAAAATTTCACACCGATAAGTTGATTTAGATGATTTAGTAGCTCCGATGAAGAATTCTGAAAACTGTTTAGCACATTGGGGAACTCCATAAACACAGAGAATGAAAAGAAAAGCAACTTTTAAAAATTGGCAGTATGTCCAAAAAAAATCTAGTTACGTACATATAGAAGTTTCATTATCACTACAAAATACTTGAAAAGTTTATCTCAAAAGACATATTCAAAATATGCACCCAATAATTTAAAACTTAGTTACTAAGCATCAATATAGGTTTGATCCCTTTAATTACCAAGCATAAAATAGCAGTCTCCTTGGTGAAGGGGTATTGCCAAACCAGGTGTCTCTATGTCCCACGAGATCTTAAAACCAACATGCCAAACATCAGGATCTCTGCCTTCGAGTTGAGGATCCTCCTCACTTTCCTCTTCAGGGCCTGTACAGAGAGAAAAGAGTAATCAGAAAGGAAATATTTCATCCAAAGTTCTGGGTTTTATAATATTATCTTAGGAATAACTGAAGTTTTAATAAAATATGGATGCGAAGTGAACTATACCCTTTTACGTCATATTTTTTAAAAATCACATTCTTTACAATATTTTTAACATGTCATTTATTTTTTAATAAAAAAAAAATCTTAAAATGGTGAGGAAATAATCACAGATACCAAGAAAAATAAAAGAAGATTGTTTTGTTCAACGCCATACAAATAAATTAGAAAATCTGGATTAAATAGATAGCTTTTTTAGGAAGATATTTTTTACCAAAATCAACCCCAGAAGAAACAAGCCACAAAAGGTATAGAGGAAGTTGTCAAAGAACTATCTCTTAGGAAAACACAGGCCTAGAGAGTTTCAAAGGAAAATTCTACCCATTTAAGGAGTGGATAATTTCAATACACTTTAAATTGTTTAAGAGCATAGAAAAAGAAGTTTCCAAATTCTTTTCATGAAGATAGAGTAACACGTATCAAAACCCAAAAAGAACACACACACACACACGAATATCACATCTGAAAATCAATGCAAAATTTCTAAACATAAGGAAATAGAATCCAAATCCAGCAGCATATTAAAAGAATAACATTCCATAACTAAGTAGAACTTATTCCAGACATACAAGGATAGTTCAATATGCAAAAGCTTACACTTAAAATTCATCATATTCATAGATGAAAACAAAACAAAACAACAAAATCATGTGTTATCTGAAATACACAAAAGTATTCAATAAAATACATGCTTTCATGATAAAAACCTCAATAAAACAGGAACGTGTGGCTGATTCCTTACCATGATAAAATACAGATCTATCTCAACCCCAAAGCCAGCATAATATTTTAACAGGGAAACATTAGAAACATACCCAAAGTTAAGAATTAGAAAATAATATCCTTTATCACCACAATGACTCATCATTATTCTGGAAGAAATGGTCAACACGATGGTGCCCTCTGGAGTTGCGTAACAGAGGAGCCCTCATTAGAAAAAAGAAGAGGTAAAAGATTTTTTAATAGGAAAAAATATTTTTTTGCAAATATGATTATCTGCAAATCAATTAGGAAAAATATATCCCAAGCAATAGGCCAATTAAGAAAATGCTAGCTATAAAAGTATGCATATAAAAATATCTAGTAAGATTCTTACATGTACATTGTCTACATGAGCAAACACTTTAAAATATTATTGAAGGGGCTGGCCCTGTGGCTTAGCGGTTCAGTGCGTGCGCTCCGCTACTGGCGGCCTGGGTTCAGATCCCGGGCGCGCACCGACGCACCGCTTGTCCGGCCATGCTGAGGCCGTGTCCCACATACAGCAACTAGAAGGATGTGCAACTATGATGTACAACTACCTACTGGGGCTTTGGGGAAAAAAAAAATATATATATATATATTATTGAAGGACACAACAGAAGATTTAAACAAAGGTAAAGACATGTTCTTGGGAAATAAGACTGAGCATCATGGAAATCTCAGTCCTCCCTCAATTCATCTATAAATTTGACACAAACACAATAAAAATATCTACAGGATTAAAGGTGAGTAGAGTTGGTAACTGGACAAGCTGATTCTATAATTCATATGGAAACATAAAGAAGCGTAGGGACTGGCCCAGTGGCGCAAGTGGTTAAGTGCGCGTGCTCTGCTGCGGCGGCCCGGGGTTCGCCGGTTCGGATCCTGGGCGCCCACCGACACACTGCTTGTTAAGCCATGCTGTGGCGGCATCCCATATAAAGTAGAGGAAGATGGGCATGGATGTCAGCCCAGGGCCAGTCTTCCTCAGCAAAAAAGAGGAGAATTGGCATTGGATGTTAGCTCATAACAAAATGGCACTCACATACTCTCTGTAGAGGACAATTTGGCAATGCCTATCAAAATCACAAATGCATAAACCCTTTGAACTTACAGGAATTCCACAATTCCACTTTTAGGAATGTATATTAAAATTGCAACTTGCAGAGCGGTTAGGTGCGCACGTTCTGCTGCGGCGGCCTGGGGTTCGCCGGTTCGGATCCCGGGTGCGCACCGACGCACCGCTTGTTAAGCCATGCTGTGGCGGCGTCCCATATAAAGTGGAGGAAGATGGGCATGGATGTTAGCCCAGGGCCAGTCTTCCTC